ATGGTTTGCCTAACGTGAGATGACCATTCTACATCGCTAGGTTTAAATTAATGGTTAGATTTAAACTAATAGGTTAACTAATTAAAGATATGTGGCCCCACATTTATTTAACTTTCCTGCCAAATCTTCTCTTGCCCTAACCTTAACTCGAACACTAAATCGAACTAGAACCTGAATTCACTAACCCTAACCCTAACTCGAGCCTAACCTGAACCCAAACCTGAACTCGAACCTGAACCCACTAACCCTAATCCTAACCCGAGCCCTAACCTGACCCAAATCCGAACCTAACCCTAACCCGAACCTGAACCTGAACCCACTAACCCTAACCAAATTCAAACCCTAGCCTTAACTCTGGCCCAAACCCAAATAAGAAAGAGAGGAGGCGGAAGGGAGGAAATGGGAAATCTTAAAGAAGTTATGACAGGGAAATCAAATAAATGTGGAGGGCCCGTATTTTTAATTAATTAACATATTAGCTTAAATCTAACTATTAATTTGAATCTAACGATGTAGAATGACTATCTCGCTTTAAGCAAACTATCTCACCATCTCACCCTATCGCTTTTCTATCTATCCACACACACACCAAGTACCTCCATATTGCTCTTTTGATAACTTACAATTATAATATTCATTATAATTAAACTTCAACTATTTATCCAAAACATCTTATTAATTATGGACCTAACTCACTTTCCCACATATTTAGGCATTCACTAAAATGTAATTAATATAAATACTTTATGATGATAAGAAAATTTATAAATATATTATAATGTATATAAATAGTTGTTAATCATAATAGAATAGTATAAAATAATCAGTGTAATAAATATTTTATAAAATGACTATGAATAATTTACTAAATAATATATTATTAAATGGTTAAATGACTATTTATAAACTATAATAATATACTATTATAAATAAATACTACACTATTAAACATTCTTTAAAAAGTAAAATATTAAATAAATAATACAGTAAAATTGTGTCAATATTTAATAGTTAAATAATATAATTATTTTAATATTATAACCTAACTACTACTAACACTATTGTTAAATACATTAATATATATATATACGTATAAAATTATAAATAAGAATAGTTATAAATATCATTTACTTTATTATATTTAGACTATGTTAAAGTTAAAAAATTATAATTATATATTATAATATTAAATAATTATTTAATTTGTTATAAATAGCTAAATAAATTATGATTAAATTATAAAAAGTATCCAAAATATAAAACATACTCCTACAATTCCTTATACATAACTTTATTTATTATTATAAGAATTTATATTATTACAAAAGTCACATCATAATTTTGCACTTAAAGAAAAAAAAAATTCAAAATAAAAAAATAGTATGTTCAAGTGCAAAAAGCACATGCATTATACTAGTAAAAATAAATGTGTATACTATTGCCTCTCATAAATTTCATTAAAACCTTTATAGATCAGGGGCTCCACCATCTCATATTAAGATTATTCTTTTTTAAAAACTTATCAAAAACTCAGAATAAAAAGGAGATTGAGTTGTAACAAACTGGACTATGACTCTTGTCGAAAGTTAATTAATTAATTAATTAACTAATTAGCGAACCAAGATCTCAATCCAGAGGATTAGCAGAGAGGGCACGCTTGTGGTACAAACCTCAAGATACCATCATTTGTTATACTAATACCAAGAGTAACGTACAAAATAAATACTAATTAATTAACAATTTAAAATGATATCAAATATTTTAATTACAAAAATTATAATGAAACAGCTTTTAGAGAAAATCTTCAGCTGGATTCTTTGAACAGGAGCGCAAATCAAATCATAATCAAAATCAGTAACAACCAAAGCGGGAAACAAGGCCAAAATTAAAAAGGTAAAAATCTAATAAAAAATCATGCAATTATTCACACTGAAAACTGTAAGCCAAAGCGTTTAATTTTCAAACAAAACAACAAAAAAGCCTCCCATTGAAAAGAGGGGAAAAAAGCAACAAGACAAACAAAAACCCAACCCACATTGATTTCTCAGCCTCCAGCTATTAATACCCATTGGGTCAATTCCCCTGAATCTTCCCTTTCTTCTGTTGTATATAACAGATTTGGGTCTCTTGGGTTTGTTCTCGACCCATTTTTTTAGAGAACCCATGAAGTTTTTTTGGGTTATTGGGTTGGTTTCTCTGAGTCTGGGGAGATTTGTTCATGGGTTTGAGCTTGAAGAGTGGAATGTGACTGAGTCTGGTTATGAGACTAATGGGTTTGGGAGCAAACCTTTGCTTGTGGGTCTGACCCTCATCCCCTATGCTACTTCTAAAGGAGCTGGTATGGTTCTATCAATTTTATAAATTTTTAAATGACTGTAGATGTGGTTTTGATTGCTAGAATCATTGCGATTCAGATTTTGTAATGGTTTAGTTATGGCATTGCTTTTTCATCGTGGTTTTTTAATTAGATGAGGGCTTGCTGTTTTATTTTTGGCTTGGTATCTATAGTTTGATTTTGTAAATTTTAATGTTTTTGTTATTTTTATTTGGGCTCATGGGGATTGCTTTTTAGGCAATGTTGTATGGTTGGGTACATGGAGGAATTCCTTTTGTTTCTTCCTCATTTTGGGCATGATGATATTGTTCTCCTAACCTTCTTTTTTGGTTTCTCTTACAAAAATCTACTGTTTTATTTTGTTTGATTGCAATTGAGTGCTTCAAATTTCGATCGGACATACTGTTATTTTAGTCTGGGAACTTTTTTGCTCAGCCAATTAGAGACGAGTAACCCAGGAAATTTTTCCTTTTGGAGAAGACAGTTTCTGTATTATTTGCGTTTGTATTCATGTGTTACTGTGCCTTAAGCCTTAGAAAGCCTGTTTCTATCCATTTATATCCTAGACAAATTTTCACTGTCTTCTCACGTTCTGATTTCAATGTAATTTTAATTTGATTTCATGTTTCGAGGCATTTGGGACTAGGAATTTTGCTTGTATCTTATCAATATTTCTTGATGCAGTATGTATGGATGGTAGCCCACCTGGTTACCACATTCATCATGGATTTGGGTCAGGAGCAAATAATTGGCTCGTTAATTTAGAGGTCTGTAGACATTACATTATAACATGAAATATAAGTTATTAGAATAGTCCAAAAGCATATTTCTGTTTTGAAACTCGTGTTATAATGTCATAGGGAGGAGGCTGGTGCAATAACCTAAGAACATGTATTTACCGAAAGAAATCACGTCGTGGTTCATCCTACTATATGGAGAAGGAGATTCCATTCACTGGAATAATGAGTGACAAACGTGAAGAGAATCCTGGTATACTCATGCTGAACCCTTCATTATGTTTTGAATTATTCATCTAGTTTCTAAACAAAATCCTTTAGAAGTTATTTTCATTGTAACTGGTTTTATAATTCTTGCAGACTTCTATAATTGGAACAGAGTCAAGGTTCGCTATTGTGATGGTGCGTCATTCACTGGGGAAGGCTACAATAGGGTCTGTATGACTGTCAATTTACTGATATTGCTTGATCTGTGATGTCTTGAGAATTCATTATAATTAAGTAGAACTCATAGTATTCATCCATTTCACTAATGATATTTGAAAAAAGAAAATATTTGATATTCGCCATGATTCATGACAGATAACATTCTCACTGCCTAATGATATTTGAAAAAAGAAAATATTTGATATTCGCCATGATTCATGACAGATAACATTCTCACTGCCATTGATATATTATAAAGCAACCGAAATCTCATTCTTGGAAACTGTTTTAGACACCATTGATTTATGCTATTGCAAATTGGATATATATGTACTGAAAGCATTTCGTGCATTTGGGAATAATATCAAGTTGATGCATTCATGGAATTGTGCTACAAGTTGGATACCTCCACTTCTCCAGAAACTGAATATTTACATAAAGCAACTATCCCTCGTTCCAGTTTTGTTTGACCATTTGATCCTGCATTTTGTAAAGTAGCATTTTATCAAAACATTGGCATACGTTTGGTACTATTATGATAAAGAAAAAAAATATCCGCATATTATTGTGGGGGATCAACAACAAATTACAAAAGAGAATCAGTTTATCATTTGTTAATTACCAGATTTTAAGACCATCATGCAAAAATCATCACTGCTATTATAACTTAAAGACATCCTCCTAAAAGATGATGTCACACAAGATACACAAACTAGCAACCGTTCAAATTTTTTCTGTCAAGAGCAACATACTATTAGTGGACACTGGACATGGCCATCATCTCGAAGCATTTCCAGCTTCTTTTCCCCCTTTTTTTGGGTGCCTGATTAAGAAAATTGTTATGCTAATAAAACAACCGATGAGAATCTAAATTTGTTCTGTTGAATTATCTTGTTTTTTAACTTTGAACAATCTGATAAAATTTGTATTCTGATTTTTTAGTTCTTTAGGTTCAACACGATTAGACATTGTTATCTGGATTAGCTGCTTAGCCTAGCATTATCCACTTTCTTTTAAGTTCCTTTATTACCAAGGGTGGTTTAGTTCTCTTTTTTTCCAGAGATTTTCTTGTAGCATACTGCTGAATTACTTTGCCCATATCTCTAGCAAGTAGGTCTCTTTTTCCGTGGCCAACGTATCTATGAAGTTGCTATGCAAGATTTAATGTCGAAGGGAATGCGACATGCTAATCAGGTATTTCTCTATCTTTGCTATGCATATTAAACTACTGTTTACAAAGTTCCCGTATTTATTTGCCTTGGTAATGTTGCAGGCACTTCTTGCTGGGTGCTCTGCTGGAGGTATAGCATCTATGCAACACTGTGACGAGTTTAGGGCATTGTTCCCAAGAAGAACGAAAGTCAAGTGCCTCGCTGATGCTGGGCTCTTTCTCGATGCGTATGATTCACACCTTTAATTTTTCTCAGCACATTTTTTTGGCTAATTGTGCAATCAATCTAGTTAACATCTATGATATAATCTGAATGTATTATTTTTACTTGTACTTCTGTAGGGTTGATGTAGCTGGTGGGAGGACAATACGATCTTTCTTTGAAGGTGTAGTAACTTTGCAGGTAACTTTTTCACGTATATGTTCCTATGGATTCATGTGTGGTGTAAATAGATGTAGTTGTTTGTACATTTGTAGTAAGGTGCAGATTGCACCCAGACTGGAGGAATTTGTGTATAACTAAATGTTTAAGGTCTTTAAGCTGTTATTTCGTACTCGGGAAAATAGTACTTTATTCTGAATGTTTTTCTGTTTCCTAATCGCATGAAAATGAAGGGATCAGCAAAGAACTTGCCAAGGACATGCACTTCTCGGATGGATGGAACTTCGGTATTCTATTTCCACAGAAATAGATTAATGATAAACTGTAAACGAACTTGGAGGACTGACTGCTTACCTTTTTTTTCCCACCCTTTTGCAGTGCTTCTTTCCACAGAATGTGGTGCCAAATATTCAGACCCCAATGTTTATTCTGAATACAGCATACGATGTATGGCAGGTATATTTTTATCCTTAAAGTGTACAAGTGGTGTATTAGAGACCTGAGTTTCAATTTATAGATTTTACTATGGACTTGGTGGTTGAGTTAAATCTCTGATTCTAATTATAGTATGAATATTTCTATATTTCTCTTTTATGTCCTCAAAATTTATCTCCATAGATGATTACTAGAAGGTTGAAAACATTTAAGTATGTTCCATGTCTCTCTCATTTCAGCTCCAGCAAAGCTTAGCTCCCAACAAAGCTGATCCTCATGGCTATTGGAAGGACTGTAAATCTAACTATGCAAAGTGCAATGCAGATCAAATCCGGTTTTTGCAACGTAATTCTCTCTCATTTTTTATGATGACTTTTCTCCAAAAAAAAAAATCCGCTCGAAACATGTATGGTTATATACATTCACATTTGCCTTTTTAACTTCAGGATTTCGAAATCAGATGCTTAATGATGTAAAAGGCTTCTCCAGATCCAGGCAAAATGGTTTATTTATTAATTCATGCTTTGCCCATTGCCAAATGGAGAGGCAGGACACATGGTATGCAAATAATGGTCCCCAAATTGGGAACAAGGTACGGCCAAATTCGAGCATAATCAACTAAATTGATGCTTGTTATGTCACTAAGAGTTCTTCCTCAAAACTATTCTTCCTTTCGTGCTTAGGGGCTCAATAAGTGTTCTTGTGGAGTTAAGTCTATTATTAAAACCATAGTGGTAAGCAGCTATATTTGCATATTGCTTTATTTGATGCGATCTTGTACTAGATTCTTGAAATCCAACCGTCTTTGTTACGCATAAAATTATTTCCATTCGGTGTTTTCAGAGCTTAATATCAATCACCTCCTATTGTCTATATGTATTCCACAATCTATTTTCATGCACATTTTTGTGAATGAATTTGTCATCATCAAAATAGAGCACTAGTCCACCAAGAAATTAATAATTGCTGTCGTCTCCAATCGAGGTGTTTCATGATTGCTAGTATGCAATGAACCATATATTACAATCAGTTTTTTCCTCCAATAAAAATGACGCAACCAAAGTACAACTTGTCTACAGCCATAACAAGCAACTGAAGAAACAAGTTCTTTCATAAATCTCAGGCTGAGACCAAATCTAGGAATATATCATTGCAGAATGAGTTGCAGTACAGGTTGATTAGGTCATATGTAGGAAGATTGTGAGAGTTCAAGATAAGTGGTTAATCCTAGTCATAAGATTCACTATGGCTTCTTATTGCATAGAAGGGTTAATTGGGGATAGACCATCTGTCCTATCCCCATTTGCGGATGGACCTCCTGTAGTTCTATTTTTGCGGATGTGCTCCCTTACTGAAATCACTAAGGGGCTCTATCTGCTGCAATAGAGCTACAGCGGGTCTAACCCCAACTAACCCAATATAAAACCTTGAAGGCTTAGGTTTGATAGCAGCGTTAAACATCCAAATGTAAATGGTGATGACACTACTTGACGAGTGCTTATTCTGATAAGACCAATATATACCATATTTGTTACCTTGAAAGAAAACATTCGTTTGCTGAGAATCACTAACATACTCATTCGTTCTTCCTGCTTGTAATTTCTCATTATGATCGATTATTGGTCAACTCATCATTGAGTTTTATGTCGATTTGCAGGGAATTGCAAAGGCCATAGGTGACTGGTACTTTGATCGGGCTGAAGTAAAGGCTATAGACTGCCCATATCCTTGTGACAGGACCTGCCGCAATCTTGTATTCAAAAGCGGGAACTAAATTCATTACTTCGGTTACTTCTCCAGTGAAGTAAATTGAAGTAGTATATTCATATATGAAGATCAAAATCAATATAACGAACAGAGATAATTGAAGTTTCTCCATACCGCAATATTTGGATGCCGACAGTGCTCCGCAATTATTGAGTGGACAATTCTTTCATGGGTACGATCAGGATAACGATATAGAAATTATGAGGAGCTTGTTACAGTAGATAATAAGTAAACAGCAACATATTCTATCTTTTTTGTATGGCTTCATAGACTAAATCAAGAAATATATGAATGCCTCATTCATTCTACATCTTGTGTTAAGAATCCGATGAAATGTTATGCTGCTATGGGCAGAAAACATTCCAAATTCTTCAGCAAACCATATGCTATGCAGGTTTTCTGATTTTGCACAAAAATTCAAGATTCTCATGTTTCAGAGTCGAGAGGGTATCTGGATTGATCAAAAGATCATTTCGATCGAGTAGAATCTACTCTTTTTAACGAAAATAGATTTTGTCGGGGACCAACATTCCTCATGCATTAAAGAAGAAAAGGGGGCAAAAAAGAACAACATTATGTGACACATATTGAAGACTAAAGTTGATGTGAGATATAATGGGGCTCATTGGATATCCAGGATCTCTTTTTTCAACTTGTAAGTGCTTCTTGTTTTTTTTTTCTTCAGTCTTCACAATTAACAGTAGGCCTTTCAAATTCCTCCAACTACCTAAATTCACATTTAATAAATCAATAAAAGGTACAATTGCAAATCTTTACCAGGATTCTTCTATACAAAAAAGTTCTCAACCGGGGGAAAAAAAAGGCCAGTGCTCTGATCAAACACTATGCTCTCTCCTAATCCAATAAAACTATTTACATAAAAAAGATTACATACTCCTTCCAAAAGCTTGAAATAAGATCCCTCCGAGTAACAAAAAAGAGCATGCCACGTGGATTCGGATGAGGTTAAGGCCTATACAGCTGATTGGTGTACCGTTTCTTTTTCCACCAATCGGAGAATAAAGATGCACCAGTAGTTTGATTACCATTACTCCAAACAAAATTAAAAAAAAAAAAATGAAAAGAAAAAAAGTAACTACAGAACTTTCACCATTCCATCTCAGGTCATCAGTCCGATCATCCGCTGAGACTCGAAGCTGACGCGAGGGCCACCGCCTGGGCCCACATCTTCAGCCTTGCCTTCACATCTCTAGGATCATCCCCTGCAAAATAAAAAATAAAAAAAATTCAAAAACATTCATCAAACACTTTCTCAAAAATTTAAAAAAAAAACAAAATAAATTAATAAAAAATAATAAGATTCTCACCAGGGCTAGATATTCTCCAACTAGCAATAGGAGAATCCGCACCACTGCTGGTATCAACCCCCGAGAATCCACGAGGAATCTCCACCGTCCAATCAGAGGGCAGCTCAAGGCCCAATTCTCTACAGGCCTTAACCTCATCCAAGTCCATGCAAATAGACTCAGAATCTGGGCCTCTGGGCCTTACAAGGACCCTACACTGCTCCGTATTGGAGTCGGACCTCTTCATTTTCCATTTCTTCTCAACCCATCTCTTTCTCCGGGCCCGGCCCGTATCCGTCACCGGCCCGTCCCTGCCCAACGCCTCCGTGCCTTCCAGCACAAAACACTCATCGTCATCGCCATCGTCGCCGGAGTTCTTTTTGGTTGATGGGTACTTTTCGTCGTCGGACATCTCGGCGTCTGCTTCGTCGCCGTCGGAAGTCTCGATGGAGAGCCGAGACATGCGCCGGAGCTCAGTGTCGTAGTCGTCGTCAGATGCCATGATTCTTTTTTCTTATTCTTTTTTCCTGGAGATTGAGTCGAGTTCGAGTTTGATAGTGATAAGCACTGTTGCTCACGTCTCTTTATATTTTTGGTGGCATAGGATGGATGATTACAGATTTGCCCTTGGATTTGTTGGAAATCTTGGTATATGGGTAAGTGTAGTGGCTCTAAGTCTGATAAGAACTGTTGTTCACGCCTCTTTATTTTTTTTCTTGCATAGGATGGATGATTACAGATTTGCCCTTGGATTTGTTGGAAATCTTTGTATATGGATATAAATTAAAGAAAAATTCCTCAATGATCCAAAATATGGGACCAACAGAGGAGACATGTGAGATATCCCCTCCTATTGCATAATGAGCTAGTCATCATTAATGAGCTGACCATCATTAAATATGGCACCAACAGAGAAGACAAGTAAGGTATCCCCCTCCTATTGCATAATGAGCTAGCCATCATTAATGAGCTGGTCATCATTAATAATGGTCAACTCATTATGCAATAGGAGAGGGACACCTCACCTTCCCCCTGGGAGTAATGGCTCTAAGTTTGTTATTCGTGTTTGATTATTTATTTGGGTTTTTTGAATTTTAAAATGATTTATTAATTAGAATCAGATTATATTACAGAATGTTGATAAGATGTAATCTAATCTCACTAGGATTATTTTTTTTAATCCGTTAAACTGTTGTGTTTTGAGGAATCTGGACATATTCGCCATTTTAGGAAGCGGACGCTTGGCTGAGAAGATTCGATCTAGGGATCTTTAAATGAAGAGGATCTTCGTGAGAATCTGGAGTATTTAATCCTCTAATATCACCACTAGTATTAGGGGATACTTGATAAGACTTACACTTCTATTAACAAAACGAGCTACTATCAAAACAAGTGCTAATTGCCTCAAAATAAAAAAAGCAAGGTAAAAAACTGCAATAAAATATATAGAAAAAAATTTATTTTAAAGATAAGAATAATTTTGCTAATACGAGAAATGTACATATGGTTGCCACATAGGAGCCAAGCCACATGCTAAGATCCAATTCGTAGAACGTGGATATGTTGGCGAACAAGAAGTTCGTGTAGTTGAGGGTCGGATTTCGTCAAAAGCTCCTCTGACGCTCATATTAATGACTTTTAGATAGTCTATCTCAACTTATTGAATATAGAGAATGGTATATAAATTTCAAATATGGAAATCCATGCCAAATATTTCTTTGGAAGAACCTTTTAATATGTGGTTCGGAAGTGAGTGATTCCATGTGTGGTGTATTAGTGAACCAACTGTAAGATGACAGGTGGCAACCCGTGATTGGATGGCTCTGCTAATTAGGCCATTTTAATAGTTGTGGTAGGATGGCAATGCCAAGTCCGTAGAACGTCAATTACAATGGCATAACGATTTAGTATAATAGTTGATTTTAATTTAGATTGTAGGATCATGAACGCATTGGGCACAAAGCTGACAAGGAGCATTCAAAGTGTGACATTGGGTTCTCGTCAACTAACCTTCAATGTTGTTAGATTATTTTCTTAAAACAGTCATAAATAAATGACTTGTGATGCAACCTTCATAATGTTGGTTTTGGGGTGTAGACCCAAACCTTTGAACAATCATATACACACAAAAAAAAAATTTAAGTCTGGAAATCAGGCGAAGCAGGCGAACTTCAGTTCAGGCGAAGTAGGCGAACTTCAGCTCAGGCGAAGCAGGCGAACTTCGCAGAAAACAGATTCCTATTTTGTTTCGTTTTTAGGGTTTCCCTATAAATAAGGATGTGACGGTTGCGTTTTTCCTGCTGCTATTTCTGATTTTTAGTAGCGATTTTCAGAGAAAATCCAACACTTTGAGATCAGAGATCTTAGAGAAAGAGAGAGTCGTTTGCAGGCATTGTAATCTTCATCAATAATCAAAGAATTTCTGGTGTGGCTCTCGATGACGTAGGCACGTTTGTCGAACCTCATTAAATCTGGTGTTCTCTCTTCTTTATTTATTCTTTCCTGCAAGTTTTTTATTTTGATGTGATTTCTTGCTTACTATTCTTTCGACACAAGATCCGGAGGGTATGGGTTATCGTTGTTTCAACCCCAACAACTGGTATCAGAGCTTTGTTTTGGAAGATTTTTGTGAAAGATGGCAAAGGAAAGCAAATCGAAGATTGAGAAGTTTGACGGATCAGCCTTCGCCTACTGGAAGTCACAAATGGAGGACTATCTGTACTAGAAGGATCTTTACCGTCCATTGATGGGAAAAGCAAAGGGAAAGAAGAAGGAGGAGACCGACGAGGACTGGAAAATATTGGATCGAAAGGCTCTAGGGCAGATCCGATTGTCCCTCGCAAAATCAGTCACCCACAATATATTGAAGGAGAAGACGGCGGTAGGGCTTATAGAAGTGCTCCCAAAGATTAACGAGCAACCATCAGCCACAAACAAGCAGAATGATTTTCCTTCACGTTGCATCTTAGCGAGTTCAACACGATTGTTGATCAACTCATATCAGTCGACATCACATTTGATGATAAAGTGTAACCCTTATTGATACTATCATAGTTGTCGGATAGTTGGGCAGGTTGCGTGACCGCAATTAGCAACTCAGCAAAAAAGAAGAAGTTAAAGCTGAGCGAGGTTGTTAGTTTGATTATACCCGAGGAGGTTAGAAGAAAATCGTCCGAATCAGAAGGTTCAGATTCATCCCTAAATCTCGAGCAGAGAGGCCGAAGCCAGAAGAAGGGTAACCAAAACAGGAATCGATCGAAGTCAAAGAATAAAAGGTCAAACTTGAAGGTTATGTCTATCAAAGGGAAATGTTAGAACTTTGGTCAGGAGGGCCATATGTCTTCAGTTTGCAAAACGCCAAAGAATGATATGAATGAGCAAGAGGCTCATATCGTGCAAGATGCCTTGACCCTTGCTATGAACAGTGACACCGAATCATGGGTTATTGATTCGGGAGCCTCATTCCACGCCACTGCTAATAGGAAGTTTTTTCAGAACTATGTAGCAGGGGACTTTAGAAAAAAGTACTCGGGGGACAACAAGCCTTGCAGTATTGTGGGAAGAGGTGATGTGCAGATACAGATGAATAGCTCTAAGTGGTGTCTTAAGAATATCAGACTTGTATCGAAGCTGAAGAGGAATCTCGTTTCAGTTGGCTAGCTTGGAGCAGAAGACTGTGTTTTAATATTTACCAGGGATTCATGAAAGATTTTCAACGATACTATGGTGGTTGCCTGCGGTAACAAAACCAACACTCTCTACCTAACTTCACATGTGAGTGACACCCTCACAGTTGTAGCTAGCAAGGAAAGTGCAGAACTGTGTGTGATGACCGTAAATTTTTTATATTAGTTAAAATAATTTTCTGATATTTTAAAATATTTAATTTTTATTTTTAAAGGAGTATTTATATTTTCTTGATTTTTTATAATTTTCTATA